AGATCAGCACATATAATTAAGTGGCCCAGACATTCGCTTGATTCAATTGTTTTCATTAGTAAATTCTCTAATGACATTTTAGTATGTGTGTATGTAACGATAATGACTATTGTCGAATAGCAAAAACTCAAATAATTAATAAAGTCAGTTGCTCGCTTATGTTCAAACCATGCGGTTTGATTTCATTTAAATAACATAACATTCACTAATTACATTTCAATTTGCATTAAAATCGTGTTTGCGTGACAACATTTCGAAGTGTCGATAATGGGTTGTTGGCTATTGTAATTTGAAATTCATGTCGTGTCCAATAAAACCACAAAAAAGTGTCGAATGTCTCTCGGTTGCAAATCGTTTAAAATTGATAAATTCTTTGTCGGCTTACAAAAAGTTTTACACAAAAATGAATGATAAAAAAACCTCTCGTGCTCCCGTGCTTATTTTGTTCGCAGCCGTATATTTTCAAGCTGTTGATGCGATTCAATACAAAACCGTCGAAATCGCAGATGGGTACATAAGAGGTCAAATGCATAAAACATTCATAAGACAAGTGCCATATTTCGAATTCAAAGGCATACCATTCGCCAAGCCGCCCATTGGAAATCTTCGATTCAAAGTAACACTGCTGAATACAATATCAAATTTGAATTTTGAATAATTCATTTTCGAATTTTAGGCGCCCGAACCGATAGATCCATGGAAACCGAAAACAATTGATGCATTCGAATTTGGTAATGCATGCATGCAAGATTCAACACGAAATTTATATGTCAGCGAAAATTGCCTCTATTTGAATATCTTCGCTCCAGGTAGGCTCTTTCTTGAAATATTCAAACCGAAATCGATTGAACCTTTTTTTTGTTTTGCTATTTTCTTCAAAAGCGAATACAAATACCGAAAAGTTAGCAGTGATGGTTTTTGTGTATGGTGGTTCTTTTGTGTATGGCGCAGCACAGGAGTTCGGTCCAACATTTTTGATGGAACAAAATGTAATTCTTGTTACATTCAATCATCGTGTTGGAGCATTTGGGTTTTTATCACTTGGGACGAGGGAGTATTCAGGAAATATGGGATTGAAAGATCAACAATTGGCGTTTAAATGGGTGCACAAGAATATCGAACACTTTGGCGGCGATAATACACGAATCACCATTATGGGACACAGTGCAGGTGCCAGGTTTTTTTTTTGAAGAAAATTTTATTTCGCGGGAAAGTGAAGACGGTTTTTAGCAAGTGCCCTAGATCATAATATTCATATTTTTTCGTGTCCACTTCCCGGAATTTTCAAAAAATCCCTTCAATTTCTCATAATTTTCCATGTTTACGGCTGTAGGAGCTGTTTCAGCACTGACACACCTTTTTAACGACGAATCTCGAACATATTTTCAAAGTGTCATTTCCATAAGCGGTGTGATGCTTCATTCATACCCAACCGGCAATCACAAGTGCATTTTTTATGAAATCGCACGGAATTTGACACAAACAATTACCAATGACACGGAATTGATTGAATTCGTTACGACGATGCCAGCACAACAGCTTTTAAGTTATACACTTCAACCGTTTTTGCTTGAAACTTTATTGCACTTCCCCGTTTGGGGACCGAAAATGGAAGGTATGATCAGTGAACCATTATCAGCGAGCCGTCATTAAGGCGGTACAAAGAGATAAAAGAGAGTAATTTTTATTTTGAATTCAGATAAAAACGATATTCGACCCATAATCACCATGGATCCACACAAAGTTCTCCAAAATGGACATTTTCACAATAAGAGCATTTATTTCACACACACCAGTCGGGTTCGATCTCTTTTTATTTTCTTTAAAAATGTTTTCTTCTTCTCTCTCTTTCTTTTTCTTCAAAAATTTTTTAAACGAAGTTTGAAATTCAAAGACATGGAAAGAGCGAAGAAATCATTAAAAAAATGGTTAATATAATGTTTGTTTCGATTTTCAGGAAATGTTTTTATTCGAATCCGAAGAGAGTTTAAAATATGAAAATGTGCAGAATGCAATCGACACATTTGATGATATCCATTTGCCGCATTATGCGTTCGATTTGGCCGCAATCGCAAACATTCCGCTCAATTCCAAACCATATCTTAAAAATCTACTCAACAAAGTCAGAAACTACTACTTTGAAAATGTGTCCGGTGAATACGACACGGTTCTAAAGTACGTCGATATGCAGTCAGATTTCGTTCTTAATTATTACATGGACAAAAGCACTCAACAATTTCTCTCAAGCGCACCATCAATATACTATTCGCGGTAATTATTTCAGTGAATTTTCAGTGCTAATTGAAATCACAATAATTATAATCTCAGTTTTTCAGTTGATTCAACATTGAATATGGCCAAACAAAGGATGAATCTTACACTACCCGGTGCTTCCCACGCCGATGACCTTTGTTATATATTTATGTAATTAATAACTTTTATTTAACTCGTGGACAATTCTAAAAAATAATAAAAAAAATTCCGCTTGTTAAAAAGGTGTCACTCCGTCGAAAGTCTCTACAAATACATAGTGGCAACTAAAAGTACCAACATCAATAGTTCCGTCAGTTTAACGGCAATCGATCGTATGACAAAGTTATTCGGCAACTTTGTAAAATATGGGTCAGTTCTTTGAAAAACTACTTGGTTTCGAATCTTGAAAAGTAATTTTAATTAAACAAAAAACTTTTTAGCAATCCAACGATTAACAATGATCCGGTGCATGGTGTCAAGGAAGTTGGGTGGGGCCAATTAAACTATCTTGATGTGACGAATGATGGATTGCAAGTGGATCAATCACCAAGTGGTAATTTGATTGGATTTGTCAACAATTTTCGAAAAGAAGCCATTCGATTGCTGATGAAATACGGTGATTTGCCAAAACATGACGAATTTCATACGATGTGCGAGAGGTTCAAAACAAAAACAGTTCAAAAGAAAGAAAATTGGCACATGATACATTGAAAATTGATAAATTGAACAATAAAATCCCGGTTAGGGAAAGTAAACGTAGATAGTTCCAGGAATATAAATAAATATTTATTCAATTTGGAAAATGTTGTGTATTTTACCCACCCAGGTTCGAGCTAAAAAGAGTCAAACCACATGATTTAGTTGAAAATTGAACGATAAAACACCGTGTATGAATAGTTTTATTCAGCTATAAGTCGTTTTTTATTGAAAATTCTTCAAACATCATATATGCAGTAAGATAAAATTAAACCTCCAAAATGGTATGGTTTTATTTACTAGCATGCGATCATATTTCAGCCATGGAACTGGTGTGTTTTGAAAGTGCAAACAAAAATGCCGTAATTGGGAGAATTTAAGCTTATGTATTATTTTGTATTTTGTTGTGTGAATTTCAATGAGAATGTAAAATCAGCTTATTTTCAATCATTTTCGTATTATTATATGTTACATTGAACAGCACTTGTCTAAATTGAATTCATACGAATTCATTGAACAATGCAATATTGTTTCCAGTATTCCACAAACAGATTCAAGTTCCATCTTACACAAATCATCGTTCACCATGGAATGCATTTGCCAGTGAATTAATTTAAATGAAATCAAGTTATGGTCGGTTACCATGACAAACACTAGAAATTTGGATGAGACAATTTAATGCGTCACAAATTGAAATTGTTGTTCGGCGGTATTGGAAAACTACCTCGAAGATAGTAAAATTAAAAGCATCTTTTGTGTTAGCATCTAATTTTGTGTTAGCATCTAGTTTGCTCGTAGAGAAGAAAATATTTAAGAAACTACTTTACAGCGTAGTTGTTACTTCTGTTACTAAATGGCATTCATTCCTGACATTTGCCAGGAATATTTTATCGGATTATGAATAATCCAATTAGGTATGCTTTGTGCACTTGAACAATTCGAGACGCAGGTTTAATTTCGATCCGAAATAAGATTTTTCTACGAATACCCGATTTTATGCTGAACAGGATGAGCACCAAGTGCTTACCGGCATGCCTTGTCTGTCGTTCAGCTCAAATATCAAGTAGTGAGTGGCGTATCTGTTGACGATCGAAGCGGGTGTATTTCACAAAGAAAAATCATCTTTGGACTGTGACCCAGTTAGAAATATGAGTTAAACAATGTGAAATCCACGGATAGGAGCCTTTGGCCAATGGCTGCACTTTTCAACTGGTTGACTATTTGAATTTTCAACGTTCAAAATACATCTTTCTGGCTTTGTGAAAGGAATGATTGTGACAGAATCACTCTTTCTATTTGACAGTGATTTAAAAGTTGACTGAAAAACCGTCAAAAACAGCCACATCACAAGCAAGAACAAAAGATTCTTTACAACGAGAGAAATATTAATTATTAAAAGGAAACTGGCACAGTTTGAACCGCGTAACAACACCTTTTGAACCAAAAAAAGTCATGGCTTTTGGTCAGAAAAACAAAGGTGGTTCGTGATGGAGAAACTCAATATACGGAGAATATTCTACTTTTATTTCCATGATTTCGGGGTCTTTCTCTCTCCGTTCGCTCTCTTTCACACCATCTTTTTCTCATTATTTCTTTCTTATATCTCTTCCTCTCCTTCTCTTTTCCTCTCTCTCTCTCTCTCTCTCTCTCTCTCTCTCTCTCTCTCTCTCTCTATGACTCTCTCCTTCACTCCTTCTATCTCTCTCTCTCTGATGCTCTCTTTTTTTCTCTCCCTCTCTCTGCTTCTCTTTCTCTCCATAATTTTCTATCTCTCTCTTTTTCTCTCGGTTATCTTCTGAAACTAAATTAAGGTAATCTGAGCAAAAGTTCATTCAACACCCACCGACATCGCTGATCATGTTTATGACGTGATTTTATTTGATTGAATGCAAAAATCCGGAACCTTCAAAACGTACTTATTTTCTCTTTGATTTTTTTCATTAATTTTTCGTTCCATAATAAAAGCGCAGAATTTGTATCGCAAGACATTTATTTCATTAGTTTTCGCCCCTCTTGGATAATATAAAATTTAATTCATAATTGTTTTAAATGTGTTCTAAAGGTTGATGAGTTTAATTTTCATCCTGGTAGCGACTGCAAAAAGGTGCATTCTATACAAAAACTTTTCACGGAAATGAATACCATTCTCAAGTTGTAACCACATGATTCATGATGTAGCAATTAAAATCGGTTTTGCTCATAAAGCAACATAAATGCGCTATGATTTGCTAGCTTTTTAACGAACTATCACATCTGAAAATATGTTCCATCTAAATATCATTATTATTAAGTGAAATGGAATTTGATGGTAAATATTTTCCGCGAAATGTACGGAAATATGGAAAATGTGTGAAAAGAAAATGCATAAAATGACCTATATTTT